TGCGGCCCCCGCCCCCGGGGCCAGCCCGCCAGGGCAGCTCCGAGGCCCCCGTCCCGCCGTGTCCCCTCCGGGCCCCGCGGAAGGGTCTCGGGGCGCTATTCCCGCCCCTCCCGCCTGGTAACGCGGGGGAGGCTCGGCCGAGAACCTGCAGAGCGCCGGGCTGCGCGTCGCCGGCGGGCGGGGGCCGGGGCGCTGCGGCGGCGCGGGGAGCGCGGCGGGATTGGGGGAGGCCGCTCGTCACACGAGGGGCTGTCACGCACCGCCCGCCGCCGCCTTTCGGGACTCTCCGCCCCGCCGTCAATTGTCAGTGCTCCCCAACCGCAATCAATCAGTTATTTGTCAGCCCCTGTCAATCCGCCCTTGATTTATGTCAGCTTTTGTTGCTGATTACAAGCCTGGTGTGACTTGAAGGGAGAAGGAGAGAGAGGGAGGAAGGAAAACAGAGGGAGAGACGGGCTCCTCGGGAGAAAAAGCCATTTAATTTACAGAATAAATCCTTCGAGTAAACTGGATTTGTGTGCCAGCACCCGGTAGCCCTCCCCAGATCCTCACTTCCATGCCGAGGAGGGCTGCTGGGCTCTTCTTCCTCTTCCCCTTTCGTCCTCCTCGTCCTTCGTCCCTGTACGCGCCGGGCTGAACCGGTCGCTAGCATCGGGGCCCTAGGAATGCGGCCCCTCGCCTTAGTGAGAGTATTGGCTCGCCATTTATGTGTTTGATTTCAGCCAGGCTATGTTGAGAACCTTGTGGATATGCACACGTTATCCACTCGGGCATTACACACGTCGTGCTTTATGTCTGTGCAGTCCCGAAGGGTACCGGGTTCTCTGCCCCCAACCCCGGTTTCACCGTGCCGCTAGATGCCCCGAGCGGAGTCCGCAGTCCTTCAAGTCGCTGGATTGCCTTTTTCTTTTCTCTTTGTATGTTGCATCCCACTATCCCCCCACCTCCTCATCCCATAACATTTTTTCACGGGCAAAATGTGTTAATCAATCTTTTACTTTTGTTTCCGGATCTGACATGGTGGCCCACACAATCTACAACATTAACAAAAAGGTCACTTAGAGATAAAACACGTTTGACAAGTGAAGAACAAGGCAAGTGCTTTAGGGGTCGCGTCCAATTCCTGACCTGGACTCCAACCAGAACAGGCGCTGATCCTGGAACGGTTGGACGAGAGGGAGGACTTTCACTTTCTCTGCTGAACCAAGTCCTTTTTCTTCCCTTGAAACACCGATCTGCCCCAGTCCCTAAACAGATTTGTCAGATAGCCTTTAATGATCTGCTCTTCTTACGAGGTAAATGGAAGGTTTTCCTAGGTATCCCCCCCTTCCCCCACCCCCGTAAAGCGATCCCCTTTAAATCTTGCAGCACAGTAAGTATATCTGCTGTATTTTATTTAAACCACTTTGCTCTTTTACTGTAGTGTATAGAATAAGATAAATACGAGGAACTCCTTTAGCTTCTATAAAGATGCGATTAATTTTAACAAACTTTTAAATTTCTATATTTTCTCTGAAAGCATAAGGCTTATTGCCACAACTTCTCAGTGGAGAGTCATAAACGTACTTTCATTTTGCAGTCAGCCTGGTCATCTTGCACGACCGTCAAAATTAAAAGGCGGGGGGGGGGAGGTAGAGAAAGAAACCTTGCATAAAAAACCACGATATTGCAATAGGACTGACAAGACCCACAACTTGCCCTCAAGGAACTCCCCCCCTTTCTTTATCTAGAGTGGAAGTGACTTGAATCTGCCCCAGGTTTTCCCCCAGTTCTTTCTTTTGTTGTCAAGTCCAATTGATAAATGGAGTGCAGTAAAACTCTGGAAGAAAAAAAAAAAAAAAAAAAAAAAGCTGAAACCTTCATTTGTGTTCATTTGCATTAAAGTGCTTGGAACAGCTGTTTTCCTTACAGGACCGGGGAGACTCCTATCTGTTTTCTCGTTGTATTTATCCTGCCTCCCAGGGTGAAAGACTAAAGATTAATTGTCTTAAGGTAGAGTCAGCTGTGGGAAGGCTCCCCCCTCCCCATTTTCCCTTCCCTCTCTCTTTTCTTATGGAGGTGAGGGTGATTTCGGGAAGGGGTTGTTTTACTTGTAAGCCAGGGAAGCCAAGGCGAGAGCCGGTACATGTGTAGAACAGGCAGCGCACCGACGGGAAAAGCCGGGGAAGGAACGGGGGGGAACAGCACGAACCCCGATCTTCCTGGCTGAAGTAGAAGCAGCAGAGGGTAATTTAATTAGCAACTTCAGAGGACAGCTTTTCCTTTTTTTTTCTTTTCTTTTTTTTTTTTTCCCCACTCAGCCTTTGAAATGAGATTTAAATCACACTTAGTATTGTAAACTTTTTTATGTAGAAGCTTGTAAAAAAAATCAGCCCCAAGACATCCCCTCCCCTTTGCGCCCTCCAAAGCATTTTTGAGCTATGAGAGCTTGTTCACTGCGCTTAACATACGCAGAAAACGATTCCCAGCGAGGGGCTCGGAGTTAGGATGCACGCGCGTTAAGATCGGGCGGGCGGCGGGGCTGCAGCTTGAAAGCGGTGCGTAGTTTGTGATTTGGCTGCTGCGGGCTCCTTTCCTCTCTCGAGCTGAAGAAGAAGGATTCTGTCCTGCTCGTTACCTTCGCGAAGGATCCTTGTTTAATGAGTCCGTGCAGATGGTTTGCTGTTTGGCATTTACTTGTGTAGTCTTGTTGAAGTTTTGGTGGCTGTTGCTTTTATTCCTTTGAAGAAAATAAAAAATAATAAAAAAACCCAAAACAACAAAAAAACTAAGGGTTGGAACCCGTCTTCCTCCTCTTACAAAGGAAAATTGTAACTTAAAAAAAAAAAAAAAAAAAGGAGAGCAAAGGGGGAATTAATTAACAAGTGCCAGTCCACACTTTCCTTTACCTACCAGCTATTGGCAAGCATGTCAAGTCGATTTTATTTGCACACAATGGAAATGATTTATTTTCTCTTAAAAAGGAGTGGGCTGGCAGATATTTGAGGAGGAGAGGAGAGCGAGAGCGAGAGAGGAAAAAAAGTTTGAAAATGCCTTGAACTATTCACTGTCGAGATGGCTAATCAGTATTGAGGCTCGAGGGCACTCGGGCAGCTTTTCAATGCGGTTTTCCTTTCATCTCAAGCTGGATGGAGGCGCTCAATTAAAAGCCTATCAGTTTGTAAGTAAATCAACGCCTATCAAAGTTGTCACATCAAACAAAACGATTATTATTGCAGCCCGCCTCCCCTATTAATCTCCCTCTAAAATAATCCGCTTGACAGGTCAGGCTGGCGAGCTGCAAACCCTGGTCAGGATCACCCAAAAAACCCGGACTGACAGACTATTTTTCCCTCGGGAGAGGGAACTGCAGAAACCTCGACACCAGCATGCCTGCTCTGCGAGCTTGCTCTCTTGCCATTTAAGTGTCAGCTTCTGTAGATCATGTTGGAAAAGGGCGTTTAGTCTTTTAAACTGAACAGCAACAACCCTACAGGCCCTTTAGGGCTTTTTTTCCCTGATTGTTTGGTTGTTTTTTTTTCTTTTTACCCCCTCTTTTCTATCGTTTCGAAAAAGATTAAGATTTTAATTAGCAGAAGCATAGTTGCTGAGCTGTGTCTGGGCTGTATTTCTGTGTGTATCACAATTCAACTACCTGTCTGTCCATCCGGTGTGTCAAATTTTTTCCTTTGATAGTACTTGCGTTTCACTATCTACCCCAAGGCTTTTATTAAGATATTCATTGCAATAGATTTTAGATTTTTGCAAACAGTGCATCTTCTTTTTTTTTTTTTTCCTCACAAGAATGTTAATACTTTTTATAAAAGATAGGAAGTGTGATGGGTTATCAGAAATACCACACCACGAATATGTACGTTTGGGGAGAGGCTTTTTTTTTTTTTTTTTTAAACACGAGACTGCATGTGCTCAGCTAATAGCTGATGTATCTGCCTAGGTATCCGGCAGAGGTGTGGGGTATTTATTCCAGAATGTTATTAAAACTAATAGTTTGAAAGCTTGCCAACAGAAAGTAAGATTTCCAAACCCTGTTCACATAGTACCTGAAAATATTTACCCTTATGCTCGTAATTGCTTTTCTAACACATATAAGCAGTATATATTTTACTCCGCATGAGATGTAGGTAATCGTTTTATAAGCAGTGATAATTTTAGAGCCATCTTCAAAATAATAGTCACGTTTACGTGAATGTGAATTTTAGTAGTCAAAGGTATTTTTACTAGAGGAGCAGAAAATCACAGAAAATCAACGGATTGTTTACTGCTTTCGGAAATATACCTTCTCCTAGAATGTCTTCGACCGAGTTTGTCTAATTTTGTTACTTTTGTTACACTGAGATAAGGAAGAGATTAATGCACCTAATAATAACAAAACCACCCCAATCTTTCCCTTTAAAGCCCTTTGACAGATTTCCCTATTGACATTGTTTCATGTGAGTGTGAAAATGTTTACTCCTGCGCTGAAACCCGTTTACCAACCGCTATTTTCCAAATCTACCCTCTTTTATGTTTAAGGTGTTTCTTATGCAAACAGCTGTTATTTAAAATACGCCTTAAGGTAACTTTCCAGAGGGAGAAAACAAGTCAAATGAGTGCAATGACACGAGCAAGACTGGGTATGTTTCCTGTTAAGTGCATGGAGATTTTTAGTGTCACGTTCTTAAACGTACTACGATTAAAATGATCGAGCCCAAAGCGAGTGAACACGTTTCCTAATTCGTACATATGTACCTGAATTGGTATTTGCTGTCTAGATTCTAAGAGTGGGGGGGGGGAAAAAAAAAAAAAGTCTTTTAGCTTTTGTAACACATTGGTCTGATCATTCAATCCCAGGAATCATAAAGGCATCTTTGTGTTTATCTTCTGCAAAAGCCTGGAGGCAATGGGGGAGAATTATACCAACTAAGCAGATATTTGGTTACAGTAATCCCTCAGAAATTAACCATGGCACACAAATGGAGGCGATCTTTAGCTTTGTCATTCGGATCCCAAATGCAGAGAGTGTTTATTGACAAATTTGTTATGGAAACTGTGTAGATCAACCAGATGCGTCTTCGAGAGAGTAAGGAACAGCATAGAAACATCGTCTTTTGAGATAGAAGGAAAAGTTTTAAGGATATGGCTGGAAAAGGCACTGAAACCCCAATAATTAACCTTATCTAAACACCCAAATGACAAATGAATAATAATCCTCGACTCAATTATAAGACAGCTACTTTTGGACAGAGAGTAGGGACAGGGAGAAGCATGCAATATATCTTAGCTATTTTCTTGAAATAGTCTAGGTCCATGATCCCAAAAGGTTAAAATAATCTTAATTTTTAATAACTATTAGCTTGTTTTCAGTCATCCCTAATGATGCATTTAGGTCTCCTCTAATCCCCACTGCTCTCATTTTTAGCTTTTTACACCCTAAAATTAATTCCACCTAAAGTACATTTTTCATTTTGTACTGTACTAGCAACGTGCAAATAATTTACATCAGCGTTCATCAGGACTGTCCTGAAGTGATGGATCATTTTGTTGAGTTGCAGTAAAAGTGCAGAATGATCTATAATGATGTAATATATACATTAAAAGGGTGTCTGGATGATCAGAGTTTTGCTAAAAATGTAAAAGGGCTTTTTGATTGATAACAGGGTTGCTGTTTTTCTGCAAAGGCTGTCACAGGCTGACACAATGCTTGAGTTATTAGGGCAGAGAAGGGCAACCATAAATTTCCAACGTCAGGCAAAAACTCTCTTTATTGTCTATATGATGGATGGGCCTCCGTACTAGACACCAAATACTTCGTATCACCCTTAAATGGGAACACATTTTTCGTGGCCATAATTCATGTTTTTTAAATAGAAAGTTTGAAATGCCTGCCTATATTTCACAATCCTGACATATTTATGAATCACTCCTTGCATGCAAATATAATTATTTAAAGCACTGAGGTGACATATGGGTTAGAAATGTACCAAATGCTGTTAGTGGAGTGATTTTTTTTAATTCCCTAAATTGAACACCATAGAAAACTCTGCTTGTCTGTTCAGATCAATAAAGTCGAAGGTGAAGTTTTACTGATTTTGTCAGTGCCACATACAGATATTCGGTTTTGATTAGGTGAAGCTGACAAAAAGGGAGTCTTTTTGCAATTACCATTAGGTTAATGAAAGAAACACTCATCTTTCTCCTGGCACCCCCACGCAGGCCATACGCGCTTTGCCCCTCTCTTTTCGGGCGATGAACTAGCTGGAGGTAGATTTAACAGGCGTTATTTTTTCCTTTTAGGCTTTATTTTCCGTCCAGCAGCGCTCGTCTCGGAGGGAGTGCCGGTCACCGAGCGGGAGAGGGGGCTGATGAGAGGGGGCTTTGCCGGCCCGGGGCTGGGCAGGGCGGCCAGGCGCTGTCCCGGGGGTGCCGCCGTGACTCCCGGTCCCTCTCGCCCTCGCCCCGTCGCGGCGGCCGCAGACAAGCGCTTCTCTCGGGGTGTTCGCTGCTCCCGCCGGCTCTCCCCGGGGCCACTTGGGCCCAGCCCGGCCCCTCGGCCCGGCGGCAGCGGGGGCAGGGGCGGTGGAGCTGCGCTGCCCTCCCGCCGGGCACGGCGCTACCTGCCCGCGGCGGCGGCGGGCTCGGCTCGGGCACACCGGCAGCAGGCGGCCGCTCCGCCGCTGGCTTGTTTTAGTTAATCACAGGAAAAGGCACCGCACCCTCCCGGCGGGGAGGCCCGAGCAGCAGCGCCCGCACAAGGGCACAGCGGGGCCGCCGCCCAGCGCCCAGGGCAGCCCCGCAGCCGCCGGCACTTCCGCCGGGGCGGGCGGAGCCGCCCGTGCCCGCCCCGCCCGCCGCCTGTGCCCGCCCCCGCCGCGGGGAGAGCAGGAGCGGCGGGGCCGGGAAGGGACGCGGGGACCTGTCCAAACCTCGGCGGCGGAGTAGGGCCGGCACTGGGCAGGGGGGACTCGCCGGCGTCCTCCCAGGCCCATCGCAGCCTGCCCCGCGCCTTGGCCGAGCTCCTCCTGCACTGGGCGGCTGTGCCCGCAGACTTCCTAACTTAGCCTGGCCCGTAACGCACACCTTTGTACTTCGTTAATTGAAGCTTACGTTATTTTCAGTAAAGCTCGAGCGATGTGAGCATTAAAACCACTTAGTATCCTGAATATTTTTTTTTCCTGTGGACTTGTGTGTAAATGTGTAAAATATTTGCACTAGTCCAAACTTACAATAGCAGGCTGACTCTTTGCCCATAAAATGTTAAATCAACCATGACCAGACTCATTTTCCCATGTCAGCCAAGAGGACTCTGTAAATCAACACATTAGGGCTGCGCTGCGTAGGAGCTGCGTGTGCTTCATGCAAAATGGCCCTGATAGCCGCTCTCTTGGTGCTGTGGTTGTCAGCCTGTGGCTGACTGCAGAAGTGTCAGATGGCAGCAGGAAACCTTGCAGGTAGAGTGCAAAATCATTGGCCATGTAATATGCAAGAGACTGACAACTGGCACAACAGGAGGAAATTATACAGGGTGCTTTACCTTTTGATGTGATTGTGTTTTTAAGACTCATAGATGTTTTGCAAAGCCTGTCCCACCAGCCTAAATTGCTTAGAAGGCCTGGTTAGTTGTATGTGAGCTGGGATGTTCTGCAGGCACTTCCTACCATCCCAAGATGGAACCCACTTGGAAGTCATTATAGAAAAGCTCATCTCAAGGTTATGAAGGGGTGTGTGATAGCTATACCTGGAAGCAAATGACCACAGTGGATAAATACAGCTAAGAAAAAATAACACTGGCCATAGGTGCTCCCATTTTTTTTCAAGAAACAAGGAGTTCATCTCCCCCAACTCTAAACAATATGCTGTATTCTGTAGAAAGCCTCAGCCAGCCAGCCTTTATCTAAACCACTATCTTTGGGTAAGGGTTCAGATACTGGAAAGCTTATTTCTGGGTGCTAGTAGGTTGAAAGGAATAGCAGACATAGTACAGCATATAACAAAATAATATCACTCCTTACTACCACACAACAAATACCAATAATTACACACATTGAATCAGATTAGATTCAGATATCAAGGTAAAGCTTTGTGCTATATTTCATGAAAAGGGCCTCCGCATAGAGAAGTCATTATCCAGTGCTCCTTGCTGGATTGCCTCCCACTCAGAGGAGTGACCCAGCTATGACCCAGACTCTGAACACTTGTGTGTAAATTTAATTTTCAGCATTACATCATTTCAACCGGAATCTCACCTCTTTGCTCACCGTTGTGCTATGTGGCTTACCTGGAGGTAAAGAGAGAAAGAATAGTACAAAACCGTGCCAAATATTAGGAAATGTAAGTTCAGCTTTAAAGTATGCACACAGCCACTTTTATGCTGTGGTCAAGTTAGACTAAATGAGAGAGCCACCAGTAAGATGAGAGGGGAAAAAAAGTAGTAAGTTTTAAATCCTGCATGATAACAAAAGGAACTTTTGAGGGTTACTTATGAAGGGGTAATACAAACTCTGGTTACAAAATTTCCCATGTTAAAAAAAAAAAAAAAAGGCACATTAGCCAAGCAACTGCTGGGAGCAGTGTTTCTTCTTGATCGCTATTCTCAACACCTGATCAATGAAAATTTGTTCTTCAAAATTCAGTGTTCTTTTTTAGTGAGTTTTGCATTTTTCCTAAGAACAACCTATCATACACTCTATTTTATCTAACTGTAATTTTTTATTTTTCATTAACTGTGCTGAGAGGTACAATTTATGTAATTTCTTTCCCATAAAAAAACTCTTAAAAATATCT